ATCCTTTCACCATAATTAGTCAGTTTGTATGCTGAGCAAATAATAAGAGAAGTTGGACTGTATGAAGAAGAATGTGACATCAGCATATCAAGATTAGAGGAAGAATTATTAACCACCTGTGATATGCAGATGACACAACTTTGCTTGGTGACATTGAAGAGGACTTAAAGCACTTACTGATGAAGCTCAAGGACTACAGCCTTCAGTATAGATTGCAATCCCACCTTAAAAAAAAAAAAAAAAAAAAAACTCACAACTGGACCAATAAGCAAGGTCATTGTAAATGGAGAGAAGATTGAAGTTGTCAAAGATTTCTTTGTACTTGAATCCACAATTCCATGGAAATCAAATGATGTATTGCATTAGGCAAATCTGCTGCAAAAGGCCTCTTTAAACTGTTAAAGAACAAAAATGTCAGTTTGATGACTATGATCCTCAAAAGACCCCAGCCATGGTATTTTCAATAGACTCATATGTATGTGAAAGCTGGACAATAAATAAGGAAGACTGAAGAAGAATTGATGCATTTGAAGTATGGTTTGGTGAAGAATATTGAATATACCATGGGCTACCAAAAGAACAAACATATCTGTCTTTGAAGAAGTATAGACAGAAGGCTCCTGAGATTTAGGATGGTGAGACTTCACTTCTGAAACTTAAGTTGTGCTGTCAGTTAATGATATCATGCTTGATAAAGCAGAGGTCAGCAAAACAGAAGACGACTTCCTAGGTGATGGATTGACACAGTGGCTCAAACATAGAAAAGACTGTGAGGATGGCACAGGACCGGGCAGTGTTTTATTCTCTTGGACATAAGGTTGCTATTTGTTGGAACCAACTCGAAGGCACCTAATTACAACAATTATTTCCTGTATAGATTTTTGTGTTTTGAGTTTTCAAAGAATACATAAGACAAATGCCAGTGAAATATTATGGGAAAGTGATTTTTAAAATTCAATTCAGCCTGTTATTGGTGCCGAGAATCCCAAGAGTAGTAATGATATGAAAACATGGCACCAAGTCTGGAAAGGGGGACACTTGAATCCTTACAACTTAATCTTATTATTTCCGTATAGAACAGTTGCTATTGTTAGGTGCTGTCAAGTTGATCCAACTCTTAGTGACTCTATGTACAACAAAATAAAACACTGCCCAGTCTTGTTCTATCCTCACAATCCTTGTTATTTCTGAGCCCATTGTTGTAGCCCTGTGTCAACCTAATCTCATTGAGGGTCTTTCCCTTTTTGGCGACCCTCCACTTTGCCAAGCATGATATCCTTTTTCAGGTAATGGTCCCTTCTGACATGACCAAAGTAGGTGAGACAAAGTCTGGCCATTCTTGCTTCCAAGGGGCATTCCAGCTGCACTTCTTCCAGCACTGATTTGTTTGTTCTTATGACAGTCCATATTTTCAGTATTCTTTGCCAACACCACAATTCAAAGGCATGAAATCTTTATTTGGTCTTCCTTATTAACTGTCCACATGCATATGAGGTGATGGAAAATACCATGGCTTGGGTCAGGTGCACCTTAGTCTTCAAAGTGACATCTTTGCTTCTTAACATTTTAAAGAGGTTTTTTGCAGCAGATTTTCCCAATGTAAAATGATGTCTGCTTTCCTAACTGCTACTTCCATGGCTGTTAACTGAGGATCCAAGTGAAATGAAATCCCTGACCATGTCAATTGTTTCCCCATTTATCATCATGTTACCTATTGGTCAAATGGTAAGGATTTTCATCTTTTATTATTGTGAATAAGTGCTTCAAGTCAACTTCACTTTCAGTAAGCCAGGTTGTTGTATCATCTGCATATCACAGGTTAATGGTTCTTCCTCCAATCCTGATGCCACATTCTTCTTCATACAATCCAACTTCTCAGATTATTTGCTCACCATACAGACTGAATAAATATGGTGAAATGATATAACCCTGACATACACCCTGCCTGATTTTAAACCATGTAATATCTCCTTGTTTTGTTGGAAGACAACCTCTTTGTCTATGTACAGGTTCCTCATGAGAACAATTAAGTGTTCTGGAATTCCCATTTTTCTCAATGTTATCCATGTTGTTGTTGTT